ATATCAATACTAAATATTGACACTTGGTACTTGTACTTGATATTCGTTATATATATATGTTACATCTATGTACTAATTATTATATTAGGTCATGGAATTGTTTGAGTTGTCATAGTGATACCATCATTACTATGAATTATTTTGAATTTATAATTAAAGTCTCAAATGATGTAAACTTGCTGATGATGACCGTTACATATAATTCATTTTCGAATTCATTTTGAACATCATTTTTAGAATTATAATAAGGTCGAAAATTCCGAGAATTACGTATAAACTAAATATTAAAAACTGCCGATTTAATTCCATCAAAAATCATTTTCGTTAATACTTACCTCGTACTCAAGTAAATTTCATATTTCCAAAAAAATGCTTGCTGATGAGTTTTGCCAGAAAAAAATAGTTCAGATGTGCGATAGATATAATTTAGATTCCATTGAGTCTTAGCTACTCTTGTATCTAAATTTCTCAAAGATGACTGTGTATTTCAAACAAGCCAGCACCGTTTAACATACAATTTTGATGAATCAGGTAGTTTGCAAAAATATGCATTTAGGTAAAATCGGCACCTTACGTATTTGTCTTGTTCCTGTCTTGTTGAAAATGGACGAATATGAAGTTTGTTTAACAAATAAATGGCGAAGTAGCTTTGACACACTTCTATCGCCATGAAAAATAATCATCAAAACAAGCACAGATTGCGGAAAATGCATGTAAACACATAAAAAACACAAGAAGCTGCGTATTTTCTACTTTAAAATCTTGACTCACGGTGATGAGAAGAAACCATTGACATTCTTCGTGTTTTGTGCCATTGAATGTGTTGTCAACAATGTTCGACGTTTTCAATGATGATCTATGAATGAACAAAGAAGAATTAGCAGCATGGTTCCATATGTATTCCATTCTCTTGGATCTTTTATTTTTAAATCTCTAAAAATGTCTAACTATATATGATCAAAAATACTCGACATAAAGAAGAATGTAAGTACGTAAAGAAACCTTCTTTTCTTAATTATTTAAGCTATTGATATGCATTAGTAAAAGCTTTAGTCTTGTTTTCTATAATGCTATCATTTTTAAAGTTATGTTTGCAGCATAAGAGTATCCTTTCGTGGGCAGTAAAAGAAATTGATTTCCTAAAAAACCTTTAGTTTTCAAACAAAAACTGTATACTCCAAATATTTACGCTAGTTAAAAGAACATTGTACTCCAGCTGTATCTCATTTCAAATGTGGCATATCTGATTTGGAAAATAGGATATGCCAGTTCGTACTAATGATGCCAATAATCAGTAGTTGTGTATGATAACGTACTCAAATTTTCTGATGATGATTTATTGATACATTATCGTCATCTAACCGCTATAAACAGTTTAAATGCGATTAAATACGCTGCTGAGAGTAGAAAAATTGGACATTTTCCCCAAAATTGAAATTCTTGATGACGAGAGAAATATAGTCACATCTTGCCTTTTTTTCTCCATATACAAAAGCTTTCTAGAAATTTTTGCTTGTCCAGAATACTTCACATTAGTAGACAAATGATATTACGAAAGAAAAACGTGTGATTAAAATCACACTAAAATCAGTCAAAAATCAGTTAAGTTATTATGGATTTGAAACATTTTGAATCATTATTTATGTTTCACTGTGATTTTTAATGGAATTCAAACTATTTCCAGCAACTTTTCATATTGTAGAACTCATCGTAATTAAATTAAACACTTGGAAAATCTGAAATGTCTCTCATATCCTGCAAAAGCAACAATAAAAAGTTCTTCTATTGCAAGTTGTGAGCAAATTGTTTTTGAAATAACATCATATACTGATTTGTACTGGTTTCTATGTGTTATTCACATTTTAATTTTATTTAAATAATCGAAATGATTAATTCTCTGCTGAAGCACAACTTAAATGCGTTACCATCTACTTAAGAACTAATCAAACATCTGTTTAAAATTTGATTTTATTGATAAAAATATGTATTTAATGATTCTGAATTGATATATCCGTATATTTAACCAAACATGTTCGATAACATAAATACTTATCGATAATAAGATAAAACAAGTTTATTACAGATGTTTTTTCGCTGAATCTACTACTATTCTAATGTATTCAGTTCTTTCCTGCAATTGGTATTTTCCTGATGACATCAACTTCCTCTTTTCGTCATTTGATACTTTGAAACTGAAAAAGCAATTTCATTTAATAAAAAAAGAAATAACAAAAAGGAGAATTATTCATTTGTAGGTGACGCTACTCATATTTCTTGCGACTCATATTCAATTGCGAATTACGTAAGTTCCATGTTACACGAAAAAACATTTATTTAAACATATTCACTATGGTGTTCAATTTTTTTCTATTGTCTAAAATGTTTATGTTGTAGCAGAAAATGTCATTATTTTCACTGTATTTGAAAATTTTCCTGACTACAAGACAAAACAGACAATTCCTGCTGCGATTGTTCGTCTATAAACTATTCATTGTTGCATAATCACTGTTAATATATGAATAGTTTTTTCTTAATTGAAAATGAATATTGATAAATTTTATAATTATAGTGTTATTAATGAGAATTTTTGTTTTTGAAAAGCGCCATCTGTTATAAACAAAAATTTTGCTAAAGGAGATAATATTTATTCTGAATGGTTGAAATAATAATCAACAATCGTATTGAGAATGATAAAGGTATTCTCTTGTCTTCTCTTCCTGCAGTATTGTCTCTCCCTTTCATTCTCTCTCTCTCTCTCTTTCTCTCTTTCTCCTGTCTCACAAAAGTTTCTTTCCTAGGGAGCAATATTATTTTACGTCATGTTACATATTCACTGCATATCAACAAATCTTAATGCAATGATCTCAACGAAATTCACTATATTTCTCTCTACATTTAAGCTCAATCAGTTTGACCTTGATTACTAAGAAGAAAAAATTTATTTTTCTTTCATTTTTCCAGATAAAAATAATGTAAAAGAAAAGAACATAGGAATGGATACAACTAGAGATCAATTAATGTCTACTGATGCTCAATCAAGGCTTATAGTAACTCGTGGTATTCCTCTTTCTTCATTCATATCAGAAAATGTTGCTAATACATCTAGTGAAGAGTTCATTCTTGATCTTAGTCAACGGCCAATAACAGCAATGACATCAGAAATAATATATAAAAATTCTTCAATTCATTATATTGATGATTGGGCAAATGATGCAAAATGTAACTATACTGATTCGATTGATGATGACTTGAATCGAATATCAATAATCAATAGTGACAATAAATTAAATATTGAACACTCCTTAACTGATCAATTAAAGCATCATTCGCTACAAGAAGATTCTTTGTCAGATAGTTCAAATAAAAATCAATCAAAACTTGATCTTTATTCGTCAATAAAAAAAAAGAAGTAAAATAATTAATTCATTTTTTTAATACCTGAAATATATATATATATATTCTTTTTTAAATGATTCTAGTTCACCATCTAGTCGAATAATAATTCATGAACTAGAACCTTGTTTAAGTTCAACTCGATTATGTTCATCAAATTTTCTTTGGTCAAAATATTTATCTCAAATAAGCGAACGATCAGTGTCCGATGAATTTTTTGATCATTATTTAGCATCAATTGAATCCGGTTTTGAAATTAATATGAAACTTGAATATTGTTATGATATACAACGTGACTTATATTGGTTAACACAAGTACAATTAATATCTCATAGTTTAATTCTTCTACATTATGTTGGTCTCCCTGATGATGACACATCAAATGATTTTTGGGCGTACATTTATGGACAACGTTGTCATCCGATTGGATGGTGTAAAGAAAATAGTAAATTAATGTTACCACCACCTATTGTTACTAAACGAGCTATTCAACAAGCAGCATTAAATAATAATACTACATCAAATGGAAATGAGAAACAATCAAACACAATGAAAGGAGATCCAAAAACGATTAGTCAAACTCCATCTACTTATCTATTTGATCAAGTAAAGTCTTCTTTTCTAAAATTCAATCAAGAAAATATGAATAGAAACTTGATTTGATTTAAAAATTTATTTACTAGTTAATTTAATTTCAAAGCTAAAGAAAATCAATACATTGGATAAATCATATTATATTGATAACTGTCTATTTTTCTCGCTAATCTAAAAAATAATTATAGTGAAAACAATCTTTCCAATACGTATCACATAGATGAAGTTGTACGAATAAATTACTGAATGATAAAATATTATAATATTAAAACTAATTACAAATTTTTTTATGACATCTAACTCTTCCTAAAATTGATAATTTGATTTTAAATATTCTATTTTAATGATTATGTATTATTCATACCTGTATTTGTTCGATTTCAATCGAGAGTAAAACTACTTAGACTTGTGATGATCGAAATTAGAAATGAAACAGTATTTCTAATAAATATTAAAATAAAATAATTGTAAATTCTTACTATACATTAGGATATTGGTTTGACTCGTGCTGAACAATTAAAAAAAGGCATGTTGCTTGAAATGCAAGATATAAATCGGCCATGGACACTATGGTTTGTTCGAATAATTAGTAATCGTGGTGGACGATTACATCTTCGATATGTTACAAATATAAACGTCTCAGAAGAAGAAGAAGCAGCAGCAGAAGACAATTCCAGTTTATTTTCATTAGATACTCATATATTTTATCTTGATCGTCGTATTCATTTCATTGGTTGGACATCACTTAATTCATCAATTTATTTTTATGATATTCCAACATGTTTTACATTAAGCATCGATAAACAACGCATTATTGATATGTGTATAGTGGAAGCAGAAAAACAATTTTTACCTCCGAACTTATTTAAAGGACAAGAAGAAATTGTTAAACATCGTTTTACAGAAGGAATGAAATTAGAAGTATTTGAAAGTAAAACTCAAAATGTTCATATTGGAAGAATTGGTCATATTCATAATGAATATTATTTTGATGTTATCATTGATAATGAAGATGGAAATGAATTATCATTTATTGCTCATTCGACTCACCCATATCTTTTACCAGCACATTGGGCTGGTGAACATAAACTTACATTAATGAATGGCAAAGATGTTCGACAAACAGACGATTATTGGAATTTATATACAGAAAAAAATGGTATCAATAATTTAGCATCTGAAAGATATTTTAACTTAATAACATTAAATCCAACAGGCAATAATAGAGTTGAACCTGGAATGAAAATGGAAATGATTTATACATTAGATAATAAAGATATTGTTTTTTCTGTAACACTTGTTCGTGTTACTAATCATCTTATGTGGTTAAGACTTGACGATACGAGTTTATTCAATGATGAAAACCTTATATATCAAGTTGTACCAATAAATTCATTAGATGTTTTTCCTGTTGGATGGGCAAAATTTAATGACTTTCAGTTAATAACACCTATTCAATATGAAACTACTCTAAAAACATACGAACAAAATCGATATGAGTAAGAAAATAATCATCGTTTTAATTTTGTTTGAAATTTTCACTGAAATTATTTCAGTGAAACTTAAAATAACTATTACGGTCATCTTTTTGAAGAAATCACTCTGACTTAGTCACTATTTACGAAATCATTTATGGATCATACAGAAACTAAATTAAATTTTTGTAGAAAAGAATCTCGAGAGTTCTTTTATGTCTCATTTGTTTTTATAGTTTTGTAGCTAAAAAAAATAAACTTCTGAATAGTTCAAAATTATTTCGACAATTCCGAAAGAGATGTTTGAACAGTCTTTAAATAATATTGACTTCAGTATCTAGATATTTTTCAGCTCAAATCCTTGACAACTAGATTTTCTATCGAAATATAGCTTAGTAATTCAAACTTAGTGTTGTTATGAATAGGAGTCCGTTGTGGAAGAAACATAATAATAATCATCGGTAACACAATATTGTATGTTTTGCTTTCAAAATAATAAGATACTTCTCTACTATACATCATCTCATAGTTAAGTTATTAAAAGAAATCTAAAGTTAAAAATAATTAATAGAGAAAGAAAAGTTTTTTGTTGCATTAGATTAATCTTTCCCGGAGGGTGATCTATTAATGATTGTGATAATTTATACAGAATTGAACTGTAGGATAGACAAATAACAAGAAAGTTCTAAGAATATCTGAACATTTTCTATCGAAATCGATTTTATGATTAAAGTGCAGAAAACAGTTCTTATCTTTGTTGAGAAAATCTATTGAATCAGCATATAAACTAAAATATGTTTTATCAATTCAAGGAATTCTTATGTTTTTCACAAATTATATTTCTATTGTTTAATATTAAGTATAATTTTTATTTTTTTTGTCTTTTTAACAGTTTATTTTCGTCGGTAACACACTATCCGAAAATTCCTCGTGTATATTTAAATGAAGTGTATCTATTAACAATTTATGTGAATATTCAATGCTTTTATGGGCCGCACTTTTGTTCACCGCGTCTTGCTCGTATTCCAGCAAGATTTGGTCCAGGTCCATACCGTGATGTTCTAATCGATATGTTTCATCATCTTCTAGCAGTAATATCGACAAATGCCCATCGTACATTACGACGACTAGATTATCACACAAATAATAAAACAACGTCAAATATGAAAACTGAATATATTAAAGCAGCAAAAAGATCTTCGAAATTAATACGTCCTATATCAATACCAAGTGAACCTCGTTTAGTACATCATTATCTACGTCATATATGTACGCAATTAGAAGCCTGCCCAAATTTAATTAGTATGAAAAATGTTGGCAATCATTGTCCAGATAAATGTCATATATTAACAAATACTTTCGGTACGATAAAATGAATCTAGAATAAATGTGTGCTCTGAAAGCCCCATCCCACGACAGATAGTCATTAATCTAAGACTATCTTTAGTTTTGAATAAATGATGCACTAAAATATGCTTGTAAACAATGAAGTGATTCATTTGAGTAGTCCAAAAAATCGATCTAGTGATTTCTCTATGAACAATTTGACAGGAGATATGAGTGAAGAAAAAACTCATCAACCTGTACCTTTAGCCAAACACTCGATATGTTCAGATATATGTATATCAAAAATACTTCTTAGAAATGATATTTTTCAAGCTTATATTTGTTCTGTTTCTATTAAAGAGGCTTTAATTTTTAAGAATTTTTCTAAAAATATCTTTCGAATAGCTTTTTCTTCACATTCAAAACCTAAACGTCCTCAACTTCGTGCTGCACAAAGCAGATACCGTAAACAAAAATCTTTATTATGTCATTTAAAAAATACTCTGGAAACTTCAAATGTGTCAAGTCCTGTTGTTGAAGAATTACCACCAATAGAACTGCAAACAACCGTAATTAATACAAGTGATATATCTCCATCAGTACCAGCTTCATTGCCTGGTTGTGACAGACAAACACGTGGTTTTCGTGTTCATATTGAACGTAAAACACACACAGTCACAAGAACGAATAGAAAACAAAAATTAATCAATAACGAGGAAATATCATCAATAAATGTTAAACAAGAACCTATTGAAATAAATAATATGACATCTGAAGCATCATCATCATCGTTATCATCAACAGCAAACAATCATTCAATAAAAGGTTTGTTTTCTTTAAAACAAAATAAGTTCCTTGATTATTTGAAATAAATTGATCTGCTTAGAAACTAAACGTACATGTATATCAAAGAAAAAACGCTCTATATCTCCATCAATTGTTAATCGATCGAAATCACCAGTAACATTGAACATATTATCAACAGATTCAAATTCTTCATTACTCTTAAATAAAAAAAATAAAAAACGATGTCTTGCTCCAACGCTTCAATCACAAAATGACATTAATACTTGTTCAAATGTTGTTAAACCCAATATTGAAAGTCAAAATTCACCAACATTTATTCGACCAATTCAACAGTACTCGATCCCACCACCGATTGATCCACGAAATCCAGTGACATGGAATGTTAATGATGTATGTTGGTATTTAAATGAATCTGGATGTTCGTTTGCATTAAAAACAATCAAAGAACAAGTAATTTTTGTTAACTATTACATCAAAATTTTTTGATCAATTGAAAGAGTTTCTTAGAAAATTAGATTAGAACAACAATTATGTTATCGTTCCAGTTCAAAATTCAGATTTCATACTTATAGAATGAAGTCTGTTATTTCTGAAAGATAGTCGTGAGAATTTTCTTCTTAGTTGATTTTGTTGAAACCACGTTCAGAGTGTATACTGTACAATAAATCACAAATAGAAGATATGTAATAAGAGACATTTCATTCGAAGAACTTTTGGAAAACAGGGACTTCTCTAAAAAAAACAACGTTAAAACAGGATTATAGTCAGCTAAAAAAACGTTTTATTATGAGAAATCATATGTTTTTTGACAGACACAAACAAAACGCATTGAAAAACGATATAAGATGAATTTAAGAATCGAATATGATTGTATTGTTACTGTATCAGGCTTCACGATCAAGTGTTCTCCGTTTGCAAAATTTTATGTTCACGATTTTCAAAATTTTCTTGGTAATGTGTAATCTAATAATCTCACAGATATTATGAATCTAAAGTTAGAAAGATCGCCTACAAAAAAAATAAGTTATTCTAGCCCAAAGTTTTAAAACGTTCTGCTCATTTTTTTAACCAGTCAAAAATTATATGTGTGTATTTACTATTATTCTTTTTTATTTTATTTTATTCTCTTTTTGTTGAGGAAATTGATGGCGCTGCTCTTCTTTTACTTGACGATCTAAATACTGTTCAAGATTTGTTAGAATTTAAATTAGGTCCAGCTGTTAAATTTTGTCATGTCGTTGAACAACTGCGTACACAAGTTATTGATACATTTCATTCTTCACCATCATTAAAAACTCGATCTCATTTATCAACAAAATAATTTTGTTTGTTGTTTTTTCTCTCTTTCAAACAGTGTCAATATGTTTCTCCGTATTTCAAAGCTACATGTATATATATATATATATATATCAGAACTTTACTTTTCTTTCTTTTTGTCTACGTTTTCAATTGTTCTATATGTGTGATGGCAAATGAAAAAAGCAAAACAAAACATCGGACATTTATCTGCTGTTATAATTTCTATTGAACCTTACTTTTTAGATGTCTGCTAAACCATCAAATTCAGCAGAAAAAGTGAGTGCACGTGGTGCAGCATATGAACGTGCCAATATTGCACGTGATCCAACTACTGGAGAAGCATTCATACCGGGTTCACAACGACCTGATGGAACATGGAGAAAGCCAATACGTGTACGTAAAGATTATATTCCACAAGATGAAATACCTGTTTATCAATCAATGGGACAACAAACACAGGTGGAAGTTAAAAAAAGAATTGAAAATGGAAATCTTATTCCTGGAATGGTTTTAACAGAAGAAGAGAAACTTTTACGTGCTAAAAAATTAGCAAAAGAAGAAAAACAATTACGAAATCAAATGACTAAATTAACAACACAAACACCAGAAGATAATAAAATAAAAGAAATTAAAAAAATTCAGAAATTATTAAAAGAAATTAATGGTTTAGAGAAACGTTATGAACAAGATCAATCAAGCTTAGATAAAGATCAAATAGCTAAAATGAAAAGAAAAGATGAACTTGAAAAAAGACTTGAAGAATTAAATGACCAGGATTCATAATAAAATATAGACTGACATTTTTCTTTTTATAAGTAGTGTCATTTTTCTTTTGTTTTAGATAAAAAAAAGAAGAATGAGTCAAACAAAAAGCATTAATACACGTGTCACTGATGAAAATTCAATTGTTCGATCTTCTATTCCATTAGAAGTGCTATGTCATATTCATCGACCAATTGTTTTTCTTGTAAGATTTCAATTCATGTAAAGAAATCAATGTTGTCAATCATATTAATAGACTAATATTTCATAAGGCAGCTAACGAATAAGGGATTTCACATTCTGAAACAGCAAACCTTGATTTTTTCCGAACAAAGACACATAGTATAATAGTTACAACATCCATGATACTTGAATCGTTCGTTGTAGAGACAATAGATAAAACACTGCGTCTTCATATGCAAGTTTTCTTGGCGAAAAATGATTTTCCTGAAATCTTTCTTGATCTACTCACAATGTAGATCATCTCACGGTAATCATGAAAGAATAATTTTTAATTAGGCTCAAAAATGAATTCTAAGTGAAATAAAATGCTGAAACTTTTTGTTGTTTGAATTATAAGAACATAACAAATTAGTCAGGCAATCGTACATGTTTTATGATTTAAAAATCAAAGAAAAGCAGCGTTTAGCGACAAGTTTGCTAGTTTTGAAAACTAACATATGAAGACGTTAGAGAATGTCGTATGGACAATAGCATATTTGAAAAGTAGTGTAACTTCTAACTTGAAATCTATCAATCTGTGATATACCGCGTCTTGTATTTCAATGACATTACTAGTATAATTTTCTAATAGCAAACTGCGTATGAGTCTTCTGCTTTTTTTGTGTACTCAAAAAAAAAAGAGTACACNATAATTTTCGTGTTCAGGCATTCTAGAATGACTGATATGTCGCATGCACTTTTTGCAGTACACATAACTCTCGGATGAAATCCGAAGTTTCCACATTTATTATTAATAACTATAATATGGGAGACTACAACAGTGCATTGGTATTAATAAACATTATTTCAAATACTTGAATAAAACTTATCCTGTGAATTATTTAATTAGCATGCATCGCTTCAACTTTTTGAGTAATCATTTTCTTGACTATGCTCTTTACTGTCCACGATACCCATCATGAGAATATGTTTAAACTATTTTACGATCACTTTCTTTTTCAAACTCATTAAAAGTTACAATGCGTATAACAACGAATGCTGAAGATTACAAAGAATAGATTCATAAATGCTTTTCTTATGAGGAAATACACATTGAATACTTGTTTATCATTAATAAAAATATCAGATCAATACTTTCCGAACAGAACAAACATGGTTAAAATTTTCACGCCAAAAATATTAATGAATTAACGTGTAATTAGAAAAAAAGAATTGATTCATAAATATTCAACTGTTTTTCACCATGTGATAATGATTTGGATTCAGACATTTTTTTTTCTATTGCACAGTACACACTATCAATAAGCCTAAAACTTTCCTATCAACTATGAAATGATTACCTTAGAAAAGAATAACTCCTTCATATTAAGAATCTCAGACGAACATTTAACAGTTATCTTCATGTAAAACTCTCGTTTTACTACGTTTTTCTAGAATATAAATCATATTATTTTAATATAAGATATTTGTCTATATTTTTAGTGGTTTGTTGCTGAAATCTTGATATTTGTTTGGAAAGGTCTTATTGGATGGCCATCCAATTGGACAATATACGGTTTTGAAATCTTCGCATTATGTCTTACATTAACATTGGAATATATTCGTTTAGAATTAATTATATATGCAAATCTTACTGAACAATTATTTCATACAATGTGTGGATTTTTATTAACATTAATATCGATTGTATCAATTCTTTATTGGACAATATGGCAATGGCTTGTATTAAAACTTGAATTTGTTCTTGGTTGTAGTCAACTTGGATTATGTTTCTTTGAATTAATTCTTGTAATCACAGCATTTATGTCGTTTTGTAAGAAATCACCAAAACAAAAGACAGATTAAAAGATGAAACAATATTCAATTCAATATCTTTATGTGATAAAACATATTTCCGTCCGATTTTCGTCTCATTCCTTTTCTACTAATTTTGTTTGAAGTTTTGCTTGTATAACATATTTACTAGAAAGACTTTTCTTTTGTTTGTTTCATCGTTTGATAAAAATACAAATTCTTCTTCATAGAAAATAGAAATAATCTAAATGTTCGAATTTAAATTGATAAAAAATATTTCTATTTTTCAAATCAATGAAGGAAATATCTCGAATATGATCTTTTATTTCATCTTTTAGATTTCCATAGATCTCTAGAGGATTGAGAAAACTTACACAGAAAACTATTACTGCATACAACTCCAGATGATTTTTTTTCTTTCTTATTACAAAACGAAGATATTTTATTAAGAAATTTTCTTATACGATTGATTCTAACATGGTTATCATAAATGGATGATTAATCTAATAAATATAATCGAATGGTTTCTTCGTATTTTATGATAGAATCTTGCCATTTACGCTTAGAACCTATATTAATGATGTCATATGAGCTAAATCGTCTTGTTTGAATCAACAGCTTCTTCTCATGTAAGATGACGCTTTCGAGAAGAAAAATAGAAACCTATGTATTTTTACTCTGAGAAAAACGAATTTTCTGATAAGAGATGATATATAATTATCAATACATTTCAAATACTTATTTCGGTTTATTTGAATATTAATTTTTAATAAATTAACTGAACTCGACTCATTAGCACAGTATTCTAATCATAGATGATTTAACTGAAATGGGAAAACTATACAGATCTTAAATTTTCTATAAGAATAAATCTATATTTACGATAATTGTTCTAGAGAAGATTTGTCAAACTAAAACTATTCTAAAGATGTCAGATATAATAGTTGATGATCCAAATAATGGTGTTCGTGAACCATGGTCCGAACGACATCTGATTCAAGCAATAGTTTTACTTGAGGATGCATATTCATTTCGTTCAATAACACATAAATTATCGCCAACAAATATATTGAAACTTTATCGATTATACTGGTCAAAATGGACTCAAAGTTTTTTAACATTAATTGTATCGTGTCAATTACTTCTTATATTTATTCAATATCCATCATCATTTAGTCGAACATCTGATTTAAGGAAAGAACGAATACGATTAACATTACCTTGTTCTGTACAACTGATTATTGAATTTTTGTGTCTTATGATTTTTTATATTGATGTTATTATTCGAGTAAAATCGGTTGATTCGCGTATTTATTTATTTTTAATTGTTTTATCATTATTTAGATTTATTTAGCTGGATTAAATCATGCTCGAAAAAAGCCTTGGATAATATCATATTTTATTGTGACAACAATATCAATGATTGATCTTATTGTTTCAATCAATTTAGGTTGTCAAAAAAAAGTAGGATTAAGATTATTCGTTGTTTATCATTTTACTATTTGAATTATTGAATTATTTTTTTGTTAAGACAATCAATATTAGATATTTACTTCGACCTTTTTATATGGCTATTATATCACAAGAAATGAAAAAAATTTTTAATAGTTTACGAAAATCATTTTTACAAATACTAAGGTATTGATATTATTTCGTTTCGTTTCGTTTGAAAATTTCTTTTTGCCATCTATTCCTGTGTCTTTTTAAGTGTTACACTTCTACTTGGAATTCACATTTATTTTTTTTCTGTTATTGGAATGATTTTATTTCCACCTGCAAAGGTATTTCGTCTTCTTTTTCTTTTTAAGCATTATTTTTTCCAAATATTTAATAAAACAAATTTCTTATCTATTTATTTTTTGAAGCGAAAAGATTCAACAAACGACCGAATTGATGAAGGAACAAAATATTTTCCAGATTTTCCTGATGCTTTGATTAATTTAGTTGTTCTTTTAACTACGGCGAATAATCCGGACGGTAAAAAAATTATTGCAATCAAATTTATTTATATTTTCTTCTTATTATTATTCAGTAACATTGCCAGCTTATTCGAAAAATCGATTATATATTATTTATTTTGCTATTTTTCTTACTATCGGTAAAATTTTAATTTGATCTATAGTACTATTGAAAATTATTTGAACAATATATTGTTGACTTGGTTTAAGACATACTAAGTACCTAAATTTAGTCATGATAATGAAATTGACTTGGTATATATTCATATTTCATAGTAGAGTTACAAAAGAGAGGTTTCAAAAAACGCCGGACATTATAGGTTTTTAGGTAGATAAAATACTTCGTTATGATTTATTTCTAATAATATATGATTCGAGAGAACTCACGATCTTCAATAATCAATAGGATTCATCATAGAAACTCATTGATATTCTCTTACGAACATGTTTAGTAATACAACGAAAGATTTGATCTCTTTTATATCGTACAAATAAGAAAAAATGACTAGCGATCACATTTTTCTACTATATAAAAATAAGCTTGTTCGACGTGTTAGAAAAATCGTTTTCATAGTTCTACCATGAAATACTAAAATGGAATGTAGATAATAGTAAGTTTTATTGAAAATAAAAACTATTATTGGGATTCAACTAAATCACTCAGTATGGCAGAAATTATTGTCAACAATATTTTGATTCTTAAGATTTTGATTCGTACTATGAAAATATATGCACACTAAAAATTTTTATATAATTTATTTCAGGTCTTTATTGTTTAATGACTTTATTTACTGTTATTAAAATGAATACATTCAAAGAATTCTTTACCGTAGGATAGAGAAATTTTATTTTTTAAATCATATTAATTCTTCTATTGTAAATCAGACATCGATGCAAAATTCATTATTTCGTCGTCGTTTAGCTGTGCGCGCTTGTTTTGATATCTTACTTGAATGTGAGGTTGCTCCATCCTTACGAACAACAGATGATACAACAACATCACTTGTTAATCATGAACCGTTTGTTTTTATGTTATGGATTAGTTTTATTTGAATGAAAATTTATAATTTTAGGTCTCGCTCAACAGCACCCATGTTAGTTGTGACACGTGTTATATCTGGTAGTAATTTACCTGAACTGCATAAACGTGCATTACTTGATGTATAAATTTATAGTTTAATAATCTTCATTGACTTTTATTTATCTCATAGATATTAAATCGAAATAATGAACAAAATGGTGAAGTTACTTGGGATATATTTTCAACAGTAATGCTATCACTAGATGTTGATCATCCAAAAGAGGTATATCTAGAAGAGTTTAATTATATTCTAATGACTTCGATTTTTAGCATATTGAACATCATGAATATTCTGGAATATGGGCAATTGTACAACTTATTGGTGCATCAAAATATTTAACATGGTTTGGAAATGCAATTGGTTTGATTAATTTTATTGTTCTAGTAGTACGTATAAAATTATATGAAAATAAGGAATATTTTGTTTTATCAAACTTCTCTATGAATATTTAGGTTGAAGGTGGTCTTCGATATCACTCGAAATTTTTTAAAATTGATATTATTTTATCAGTAAGATTTCGTAAAATTATATTCTTGAAAATTATAACTTGATTTGTATTTAGAATGTACTGTTTTCATTTTCTATTTATTATTTTCTTGAAACAATTCTCAAACTTTGGTCTCTTCGTCCAAAAATATTTTTTAAATTCGTCTTCAATACATTTGATGCCAGTTTGGCTCTTTCTTTATTTGTAAATATATTCATTTAGCAAAAAGATAAAAGAATCTTAATTATTGTTAATTATTTAAATATAAAATAGATTCTTCATATAATTCATTGGTCTATCTATGGCACATTAAGTATAACAATAAAGTGTGTGATTTTTATATTCTCTTCGAATATAATAATTCCCTATTTGACTTCTATATTCTATACATGAACAGTGAAGTCGAACTTGATGCACATGGAACAGCGCGTTCAATTTGGGCAATAACGCGTATTATTAATTTATTTATTATCTTTCGAACAATTCGTTCCATGCCTCATTTTACAAACTACGGAATTATTATGGGAACAATCAGCGATGGAATGAGAAATTTAAAAGCATTTATTGGCATTCTTATTGTACGTTTTTTTATTTTCAGTTTTTGAACAGATGAAATATTAATTATTATGTTCCATTCTTGTTTTCTCTCGGTATGGCTAGTGTTTATTTTATGTTTACGCTGTCTTAGGTATGTGGCTTTTTCAAGGTGTTATAAAAGCACCAACGGAATCGGATTTAGTGTAAGAGGATCTATTAGGGGAGGAAAAAGAACTTGATTACTGTATTTTAAAATTGTTTAGAAATGCAACCTGTGGATCATATCAGCAAAGTAATTATTGGGCAAATAATTTCGATGATTTTTTTGTAAGCTTCTCTTTTTGTAAAAAATAATTAGAAAGTAATTTGTTAAATAAGTTTATCAATTTTTTCTAGTCGACTGTGGTGATATTATATGATGTGATGCTAGTTAATAATTGGGGTGTATTTTTAATTGCTCTTCGAGAATTTTCTACAAGGTTATTTTAATTTATTTTCAATGAAAATATTGATCTCAATTGTATTTAGATGGAGTCAATTATATCTTGTTAGTTGGTGGTTTTTGTCGAATGTTTATATTTTAGCATTGGTACTTGGTTTTATTGTTGAAGTATATTTATTTTATTTTTATATGTTTCTTATCAGTATATTTGTTTTTGTCAAGCTATTTGCATTGAACGTTGCTCGATTCGAAGAAAGTGGATTTTCTCAAGGATCCAATGGTTTAGCAAATGCATATTTTGTTAAAACACTTTTTCATTTATTTAAGTAAAAATCTTAATACCAAAAATAATAAAATGAATTATGCTTATTATTATTATTATTATTATTTTAGACGAAGTTTAAAAGAACCATCCGATGAAGAAATAAGCAAAGCACTCAACAAATATAAACGATTATATGATAATAAATAATGAAGACATAAAGTGCTTCTAGTAGACTCTATGATTATCTAATTCGAATTTTCACTTTCAATTTTTATGCACATTTAAGTATTTTCTTTTTGTGATTATTTCATATATTTTTCCAATTTATTTTTAATTAAAGAAAAGATATGTTAAAATGTGCATTACTTTTATTCAAATAAAATATTATACACATATTGACGTTTGAATAGTTTTACAAGAAATTAAAATGCTTGTACAATTACTTTTTTTTGCTTAAGAATTGTTTCTTTTCACGTCAAATTATATTATGAATTAGTTATTGTATTAAGTGCTATTGTCAAAGAACTAGGCGTTCTTATCATTTCGAATTTATTCACATAAATAACATCGGTATAGTAGAGAATGAAATGTATTGCTTGATTTTTATTTCACATTAAAAGGATATATCCATCAAATTCATTTAATTACTACCTTCATGAAAATTGCACTGAAAATAACTTGACATTTGGCTTTATGGTTCGAATTTATCATACAGAGAATATTGAGATGTATTGTGAGTTTGATCTAGCTCACCAGAATATCGAACAACATGACTATCAATGGCAAATGATAATTCATGAAAATGATTACAAAAATAGTAGGAAATAATATTTTATTTCATTTTTATAAATAATACAGATCGAAAGTCAATGAACAATTGTGAAACCTTATTGTATTCAAGTAATACATTGAAGCTGCGAAATGAGCAAAAAAGACTTCATCTAGATCTCCATGGCACTGATTTCCTATATGTTTGTCTCTCGTAATCATGAAAGTATATCTAAGAGATTATTTTTGCTACAAATCCTTTTAACAGTCACATTGAAGAATTACGATCGTATAAGATTTAATTACGTTGTTTATGAGCGTATAAAAACTACATTTATTTATCATGAACATCCATCATAATTACTATTTCATTTTCCTGACATTAAATTCCATAGATGCAATAATACTTGAATATTTCAGAATATAAAAACTCCAAACCATAATCACGCGGTCTTTTATATGTTTAATCATGTTCTGGAAAATAAAAAGATAGCAATGCCATTGTATATAAACGTGCGTATTCCAGTATCGCATTTCAACAAGAAACGAGTGTGCAACATTATAACTCGTATGTCTGTTCAACATATTGTGCATTCTAAAAATAATACTAGTTATAATGTTAGATCGCATGCATATTAGACGACATAAGTGTTCTTCTAATAGTTTTGGCGTTTACACAATTTTTATGAAAGACTAAAAAACTTTTTCATCCTATTCATTAATCATGGACTATATATGTTGTAAATTACTTTCAAACGACATGAATAATCATAAAAGAATACTCGAAGTATTATTATGAAATTTTCTAGGATCTATAGTCATTCAAAACTGTTTAAAAAAATATTTAGTCGAATTCTAAGACTTATTGTGAATTTAAAGCATCAATAATTTATATGCCTTCATATAATACGCATAATGGAAAGCTGTAACATTTGTTTTAAAAAAAAACCAACGCTTTTGTACATCAAAGTGTAAACAACGATAACGAGAAATTTCTTAATATTTGAGAAGTTTGATCTAAGGAAAAAATCGAAGAATGAAAAACATTGTTTTTATTCCATTCAAACAGATGCAAATAAGTATATTTTATACTTATTGCATATCGAAGTTATGTTAGAATGTTATATGCGGTATGTACTTTTTTTCTTCTTTTTCAGCTATGTTTTCGAACATCAGCATTTTCGTATTTCTTAGTTTAGAATCATTCGTCTATTCTATTGGACATACATATTTTCGTATGGATGCTTTTAAACGTGGTCAATTCAAATTTCGATCGTTACCACGTTGTCTAAGTTTAGCAATTAGATCAATATCATTTGAACGTCTTGATAATCGTCCTCTTTCAAATACACCATCGTTGCCTAGAAGACGAAATGGAATATCTGCAGATTCATACAATGAAATAAGAAAATTAATTTTACAAGCACCATTACCAACGGCTGTTCTTCAGCGTTCACCAACAAAAGAATTTTCATTAGATGATATTGGCATACCATTAGCTGCATCTTCTTATTATATTCTTACATTAATCAATGAATGTTCAACACTTGTGATGTTTAATAAAGATCATGAATTATGTCGCATTGATTTGAGCAATCTATTAGTACTTGTTCATGATCTTTGTTGGTCGTCAAAACTAAATATGTTTCTTATGGCTGGCTATTCTCTATATACATTTAATCCTCGTTCATGTATACTATCAACTATTGAACGAATAACATTAGCTCGTGGTGAATGGATTGTCTCGATAACAATTGATAGTAACTCAATTTATCTTCTTTATTCGTCACGTTCAGCTCGTATCGAATGTCGGTCACTTTTTCTGCTGCATACACTTGAAAAACAATGGCTAGAAAAAGATTTTCTTCGTCAAACAGACTTTCTTGCACAATGTATACGTATTAATCAATGGAATATTCTTGCTATGACAATAAAACAAAAAGATGGTGGGTGGAGAGTCGATTTATATGATTCAAATAATCTTTATCGAATACATCGAGGTTGTTCATTAGGTCAAGGTGTACCTGGCATGAGAAATTGTTTAGTGATGCCTTATAATCGTTTATGGATTGTTATTAATAACTGTTCAATACCTGAACAAGTTATTTTACTTGATGAAAATGGTCGAATGAAAGCAAAGACACATCTCGATAAACCACGCGGATGTTTTAATCTTTGTTTAGTCGGAGATGAATGGATTGCAATGAATGTGAAAGATAAATTACGGCTTTATAAAGTTCAATCATAATCAAACTTTTTTGTTATTTAATTCTGAATCCATATTGTTTTTTTCATCTTCTCTCTATTTTTCAAAAAGCTTGCATAGATTTATTCATTGTTAGAGTTAATTATTGAGCTGTATTTCTTTAAAATGGCAGTTTCTTTGTTTGAAATATTCTTTGTTTATTGTTAAGTATCATTGTCAGACTCATGAAAATGAAATTTAGAGTTAAAAATTGCAGGAGCAAATTGAAATGATTTTCTCTATACACGTAACCGATAAAAAAGAAGCATTAATAAAAAATATTTTTTCGAATCATAATCATTCTCAAGCATCTTATATATTTCAAGAAAAGAAAAGTTCACTCAAACAATTCATAATGGCAAAAATATGATGCTTACGTTAGATGAAACACGGTCTTATGAAAAAAATATGTTGAAGAAAATCAACTTTGCTTTTTATAGAAAAGATCGTAATCAGGACTTTTTTTAGTAAATCCTTATTTTGCCATCTAGCTATTTTCGATAGAATGATTATGACGAAAAGAATTTTTTGTATAAATGTTGTGAAAGATCTAAATCTTTGAAAACGAGAGCGTCAGCATTGAACTTTCTACTGAGAGTAATAAAATAACCCCATTTGAAAACACATGACGTTTTGTTTTTGATTCATTCTCATACGTTTTAATAAAGAATTATATGACTGATAGTTATCAAATTATACGTGTAAATCTGGAACAGTAAATAAACATTGAATCAGTTAGATATATATGCGCTACTGAATTATCATGATACAAATGTGAATTCTAAATTCACGAAATACATATAATATATAATTATATTTTGTTTTGTTGTGATATTTATTCGCATGATCAGAAGGTCGTAGACTGTAGCATAGCAACTTACAATCACGATGATAATTATTACATTATTCTGTTCTATGATAGTAGGATAGTGCAGGCTCTATCATCATCTCGGTAGCTATTAGCTAACACTACAGCAGATAAATTCTTTTAAAATTACTAATTAAATGACTAAGTTGAACTATACAGATGTTTTAAAATTTTTTGCTTTGTTAATTATTTAATATTTTCATTCGGATAAACGGCAAGCTTGTTTATCTGAAATGCTGTTTTGATATCAATAAAATATTTTCCAGCGAATTAAAATCATATCACATGACATGTATTGCTCAGATAATATAAAATCAAGGGGATCAAAGGAAAGTAATTGACACAAACACGAAAAAAAAGAACGTTCTTTTTCTAAATATTCAAACTTAAATTCGATCCAGGTCCATTTGAATTATTATTGGAAGAATCGGTGTTCGATCTTATTTGTGTTGTTGGTGACGAACGAGGTGATGAAAGTCTACTAAGTGGTTGAGTAGAACGTGACGATGACAAACCTTTTGAACGTACATGTATTTGCCCACCATAACGTAGTAAACGTTTTTCAATTTCTATGGCAGTTAAATTATCTTCAATTATTTGGTCACGACCATTTGAGCGTATCCAAACAAATACAAATGATGGTGATGAAGATAATGTTGATATAGATTTCAGAAAAATATTCTGTTGTTTCACTGCTATTTTTAATAATTCATTTGATGTGGTCATTTTATTTGTACGCAGTTTAAATGGCATTAGTGTATTAGATGTTAATATAGGAATGTAAAATGTTAATTCAATTGGATCATTTGATTCTGATGTTGATACAGTTGATGTACGGTTTGATGTATATCGATCAATAATATTTGATGATTCATGATCAATAAAACCACTATCATAATTTTTAGTTAATGATGTATCATTTAAAAATGATGATGATAATGATGCTGATGTCATTGCTGTTGGTAAGGCTAATGTTGAATTTGAAAATTTAACTGTGTGTAATTCTGAATCTGACGCATAATTAGACGACGAAGAATCAGTTGTTATAATTTTTAGTTGAACTTTCGATGATGGTTGAAATGTTAACCATGATTTAAGTGATATACCAGCGTAAGATTTATCTTTTGCGCAATTAATAACGTCAACAAGCCAACGCGATGAACGCCATATATCATCTAAATCTTGTTGACAAGATAATAAATGATTAAGACGATAACGTGATTCATCTAATTCCTTCATCGAAAATGCTTCACGTTGACTTTGTTGTGCACAGATTAATTCAAAATCAAGACAAATTGATACACGACTATATTGTGATACAAAACGATAATTATTACTTAAATGTTGCACTAAAGAATAACAAAAACCAATAATTACATTCTATTGCTTTTCAAAACTCAATAGAAACTTACAAACTTCAAAAATATATACAGGCAAATACATAAATGGTGTTAAACAATCATTTGATATTGAATGACGTTGACTTGATGAATATGGAGTAGAAAGTACATTGACTTCGTCAGCTGTTGACATTAAAATTATTAGTGAAAGATCATCACGAATCTCAACTACTTGAGCATCATATATACGACTATTTGAAAAATGAGTTTCTGGAAGATCTAAACAATAGGAATTTTGTTAAAAATTATATTCAAAAAAGCATAAAATGTTTTTTTCATCGAAAATTATCGATTCTTAAGAAAAAGAATAATATATCATTCTAAACATAAAGAAACTTACTCAACATCAGACACAATTCTCTTGCAGCTTCTTGAAATTGTATCTTAAAAAGAGAAAGACCATTTTCATCAGATACATTTTCTGTTGTTTCTTCATCATTATTGATATTGTTATTATTATTGTTAATAGAATATGTATGTAACCACTCCCATTCTTCTCTAAAAAGCATCATATAAAATCGAATCTTCTAAAAACAATTTTTATAAAAGAAATATTTAAATTACCGTGATACATTAGCCACGGAACGAATTTTTGTACCGGGCAATGAACCGGGCATATATCGATTGACCATGACACGTACACAATCGACGCTATTTTGCATTTTTAAATAAGCAACGTATAAACCTGAATCAAGGCGACGCATTGATGCATGATAAAAATCAATCATATCCTTGAATTAATTTTAAATTAAAAAGAAAGAAGACATGAACAATTTACATAAAAGTTTTTCTTTTTAAATTAATTATTTTCATACCGGAAGTTTATCAGTTATTTGCTGAAGAGAAGAATTATTTGTTAAAGATTCTGTTTCTTTGATTGTTTCAAAAAATTTCGCCACTGATATCCATTTCAAATTTGGTGGACAAATAATTGCTCGTGTATCAGTTGAATTATTCGATGATAAATCATTAATTAATACAAATGCAATATTTCCATCATTATCACGAATATATGTATGATAAAGACGACCAAGATTATTTATTTCTTCTAATGTCTAAAAGTCAAAACAAAATCAAATACTCGAATATAGAATCTTTATTTTATTTGTTTTCAATATAAATCATTGTTATACTTGAAGTTCAATGGCAGCTTGAACAAGTTTCATTCGAAGATAAAATGATGTTGCACTTGAACATCGTTCTAAATCGGGTCTTAAAGTTTTTAAATCATCCCAAACAAATGTTAATTTCATAAACCATTGAAAGTCTCCTAATAAATTATGGCCATAATTTTCATCAACTTCAACCATTGGTAAAACATCTTCGTTTGTTACTAATATTCGTTCACCATTTAACATAACCGATACTAAATAGAGACCTCTGGAGAAAAAAAAAGTTCTCTCACTATTCCATATTTATAAAAATAATCTTAACCGTTTCATTGTCTTTGCTAATCGAGGATAAAGTTGGAATAATTGTCGAAGATTTCGTCGAAGATTTCCGTAACTTCGACGACGAGTTCTCATTGAATTTACAGAGGTAGACATATCAGGTGATTCTAAATTTTTTAGAAAACGCTTATTAAATTGACAGTAAGATTTTCAAAGTTTTTCTTTTCTAAATTAACTATAGAATATCATGAAAACAAACATAGTTATTAAAATGATATTAATCATATATCATTTTTGGTTCATTTAGATGTAACACAAAAATACAGAATATGAATGTAATCTTACTCATTGGAAGAAAAACAACAATGAAAAAGTCGAGCATATAAAATAAAAAATGATCAAGGAATTGTATTTATTATACAGATGTTGATTGCACTTACGAGGGAAGCCCACCGAATGTTCAATCGCTTTTGCGTTGAAACTGATTACATTATGTAGCTTCCAAAGAGTTATGAATGCGCTGAAAATATTTTGGGCGGATAGCTTATTGTTACGAAAAAAGGCCATTTTTATGGCATTCTTTTATGATTGCCGTACTCCCCCTCAGGAACATTAGAAAAATTGATTTGCGAATTTTGATTTGAAATTTTATATAGCAATAGACCTCAACGAGAATAGTGTTTTATGAATGTTTTTGGCCATTGGATTTGTTTTTCTCATAAAATCTGCCACTTCACTTGAAAGATGTAAAATAAAAATTTCACAATACCTCTGTCTAGTGATAGGAAACGTATAAAGGTCTGAAACGTTCACAAAAAGTTGTTCTCCTTAGGGCGTATTTCTATGTAAAGTTTCAAGTTGAAATTCGAAAATCAATTTTTTATAATGTTCCTGAGGGGACCCCAGACTCTCACTAAAACCCATACCTTAGAAATGATCTGTTTTCGTAACAATAAGCTATCCGCTAAAAATATTTTCAGTGTATTCATAATTCCTTGGAAGCTACATAATGTAAGTAGTTTCAACGCAAAAGCGATTGAACACTTGGGGACCTCCCCTCGTAAGCCTTGTATAGACACATTCTTAAGATTTATTAGAATCAATCAGTTCAAAATTGAGATTGAGTGAGCAAAAACACTATTAAAAAAACGCAGTTTCTGAAATTCTACTACGTGAAAACAAAGATATATTATGCATCCGAAAGTACGAAACAGACTCAAAAGTAAGCTAATGAAAATGCTTTGGAGACGAGAGCAAGTTTTTCATTGGTACCTGCTAGATGGTTGTGCATTCATATTCACGAAACTATTTTAATTTCAGGAAGCAATGTATCGTGAACAAACTCTTGAACAAAAACTTGAATATCTTCAAAATGTTTTACGTGATGCACAACAAACATCAGATGAAAGTTGGCAAGCGATTATTAATGAAGATCGTCTTCTGGCACGTATCAATGCACTTGAAGATCAAATACGTATCTATCGTACTAAAGTATAAATATTTTTTTCTTTTATATAATTTGATACCAAATATGACGCGAATCTTTCTTAGCATCCAAACGAAGATACGATAAAACAAGAGTTAATTCAATTAACTCAATCGAATACAAAATTTGAAGAAGCCTCGAAAGTAAGGAAAATATAAATTTTGTTTTTTTTTGAAGAATCATTGCTTGATTTTTCGTCCCATTAAAGAAAAAATTAGAAGCAGCTTTATTTGAATGTGCCAATGCAGTTACTCACAGTAAATCTTTTGAATCTTCATTACAATCAATGCAAGATGAACTAAAACGTTACGAAGAACTCAATGAACAACAAAAACAAGATACCGAACAACTTGTTCAATCAGTTGATGAACAACGTTCTATAATTTCGGATTTCGAAATTAAACTACGAGTATTTGACTTCTTGAAAAAACATTTTATCTATAGATTATTGTATTTGCATTTCTTTGTAGGATTCTGAAAAACGATGTACCGAATTAGACAGTGAAATACAACGAATACGAAGTAATTTTGATGAATACTATGAGCGAACACATCATTTAGAAGAACTACAACAGAAATTGCTTCAGGTTTAAAAATTCAGCAAAACAAACGTTTTCTATAATTTTTGTTTTCTTTTAGAATGGAATAAATCACGTTCAATGTCAAGAAGAATCTTCTGCGAAAGGTAGAATTCGTTTTTTTTCCTACTATAAACTACTTTCTTTTTCATATATAGATTTAAATATTGAGAGGAATAATCCAGTTGAAATTCCGATTATAATAGAGAATGGAGATAGTGAAAAATATAATCATATTATGGGTCCATCAAATCAAAATGATTCAATATTAAACCATAGTCATGAACAAGAATATGATAATATGAATGGAGTTCTTTCAATAAATGGATTAACAGAAGCAAAAAACCAAATCGATTTACTTCGCGAAAATCTGAATGAAACTATGGGTAAATAACATAAGAATACCATTATAACTATGAAAGCTTGAATGAACCAGTTGTGATCATCGTTCGAAAGGAGTTTCAATGAAAACAATAGATATGAATGACTACTGACACTTGCAGCAGTTTCGCATGACTATTTAAAAGGTTGACATGGTAAAATGTAAGATGAAAGCTATTCGTTTTCAGTTTGTTTCATCTGATGACTATTTCGATTTATAATAGCTCGACATAGTTACCGTAAAATAGAATCAGAATTTTTTTCTATTCCTCTCATTGAACAATTGGTCAATTTTAGCCACTTTTAAGATCGATGCACATCTGTGTTTTCCCTGAAATTCAATTACTCAAATCTTCATTTTTATAGGCTTTTGTTTGTCAACTATTTTCCGTAATACATAACCGAATATTGTTGTCATACTGGTAGCTTCTGTTGCAATCTGTCTTTATAGTGGCGATTTTTATATTGTACTAACCTGATGTTGAAAGAAAATAGCTTTTAAAATTCGTGCATTGTATAGTTCGATATGCCACAGCTCTGAGAAATTGCGTGTATTTCTATTGGTTCATAAATTTTATTTTCATTTTAAGAACGACTCGTTTCTACCGAAGATTGTTTTCGAAGTGAACAAGAATGTTGTCGTTCGTTGACTTCCCAATGTGAATCAGTAAATCATGAATTAGTTGAACTGAAAATTCGTCTCAATATAGAAAAGAATGATAATAGTCAACTACTTCAAGAACATCAAAATAAACTTCAAAATTTATCAAAATCCAGTTTATCAAAACAAAATAAACATAATCAACTGCTCAGCGTTTATATATGTTTTTTTCTTTTTTGTTATTTGCTAATTTTTTTTCTTTTCTTTTTTCTTCTGTCATGGTGACATTCTCTTATTTTACTTTGTTTCCGTTGAATTATGTCTCTGTTATTTTCAAAAATAATGTCTTTTTTTTTCTAAGCGAAACCAATTACAAAAATAGCAAGCAGAAAACTATGCTTGCACTGTGCTCATAAAATTTTATCACATTCCTCGTCATTCTTGTCTATTTTTATTTCTATCGTACACAGATTGTATAGCCGAATGATTTAGATTTTTCTGGTAAAACATTTCTTGGTATTGGTTTGTCTGATATCTTTTTTCTTTACTCTGAATCTCGAAGTTTTGATTCACCAGATAAATTAAAGTAGAATAAAGTGATTCGTGAGCCAATATGAACATCTTAGTCACCATCTACGGTCTTACTCTTGTAAACAGTGGATTCAGTATGCGGATGTGCAGACTAGTACTATGCGTAACCTGATACGACAGGTTGTCATCATAGAAGATTCCGGTTATTTTGAGAAAGCTGCTCAGTGTTGCAACAAAATATAAATCTTGAGAAGCTTTTCTCAAAAAAGGGCACGTTATGTTTGAAAAAGTTCGTACTGTAATCCCGAATAAAATTAAATTTTATGCAGTTTTAATTCTGCCGGTGATATATGCGAATGAATTTCTTATAATCAAATTCAATAGTAGACATCAGCTTCCTGATCATACGTGTTTATCTCTACATAATGAATTTCCATGGAATAATTTAGAATCAACTTATTTGAATTTTCTTAAAATAGAAACTCGCCATCGCCTGGAACAATAAGTGACAATAGAAGAGAAGAAAGCGAACTAGTTAATAGTGTTGCAAGATAGTGATAATATGGAAACTTGGGTTTCCGTGCGTTTCGACAGAGAAAAAAGGATGCGGCAAATGATAATCTACTATGTTTCAAAAGTTAAAGGCGTTTCATTTTACACCTCTAGCTGAATTTTCTAGAAATCTACGTTTTTGTTTGTCAATGTGTTTATAACAAATGCTAGAATTTCGGCCCGCTTGAATCGAATGAGCTAAATGGTTTCTTGCTTCAATGCGTATTGAGTGTGTTTCAGCCGCATGCTGGACACCAACAGATAACCGAAAGATCAGTTCACATTGGCATGTATATGTATGGCCAGATAACTGATTACACTTCACCACAACCATAAATATTCAATTCCGCAGTACTGCTTGTGTTTTCGAAATTTCATTGCATGTCTCTGACGAATACGATTCCGAGTCATCACACTGGAAGCCATGTAGTTGGAGTCGATTTGATCGACTCAGATAATTTCATGTTTATCTAAGTGCTCAATTGCATTCGATGGGACTGACGTGAAGCGCAGTAATTAAGTCTCAGAGTGGAGAACGAATTACTCCATGCCATTTAGAAGAACTAATGGCCTATTCTCAACGTACATTTCGCCTCGTTGTGGATCATTTTCGAGCTATCCTGGTTTCCATTGGATTTTTACATGTGACGGAAACACGCTCCATAAACCTTGTAGAAAAAAAAAACCATTTAATCAGTTCGATTGAGAAGAGTCAAAAATCTAGCAGTTGACAATAACAAATTGACAAACAAAAAAAAGAATATATATGAAAAATAAAATAAAATTATGAACGAGGGCTTGTTTGGTAGATCTTCGCTAAACCATTCTCATGAGTTTTTGAGGAAACTATGAAAAAATGAATTAAAAACAATACTCAGGACTCTTGTATTCTGAAAAAGATTATGTATCAGTATTATAAACTACTCAAAATCATAATCTGAAGGAAAAATCTACAATAATGGATTAAAACAAGAAAAATTTTCTCTTTTTATGAATTATCACCGCAGCAACATTTTGGAAAAATATACTTACTTTACTTGACAATACGAGCTACTATTGAAGGTGTACAAATAGCACCTTCAATAGTAACTGGGTAGCAATCAATATTATCATTAGCAGGTAACAGAATACCTTCAATAGTGGCATCATCACATTGATTATTACACATAGTAATAGTACCATTAAATTCAAGTATACAAATCGTAATACTACCATTCATAGCATAATTATCAATATGACTATCATAAATACTAATCGTACCATTCATTTGATCATTGTGACAAACAGCATTATCATTATTATTGGTTTTAGAAATATTAATAGTAGCATTCTCACAATCATTAGCATGATTATTACAAATACGAATATCGCCATGAGTATTATTTTTACATATTGTGATAGTACCGCCAAAATAAGCACAAGGACCATCATTACTTTGACGTTTCATGATTGAATGATGGAGACGGCCATCGATCCTAGCTCGATTCGCTATGGTCCGTGGCATGCAGACTGTAGCCATCAACACCAAGAAGATGATTAAACAAATGAATTGACTAATATTTTGCATTTTCCTTTGTTGTTGGTGTTAGAACATTGAAGAGAGAGTGCTAGATGAATATAATCAAATGTGTAATTCGTATGTTCCTACAGCCGTGCTTCAGCTATTTATATATATATATATATATACATGTCGATTGTTAGACAAGGAGAAATCTATGAGAACAAAGTACTTTTTCATGAATGAATCGAGATAACCCATACGACTAAAGGGTGGCATGTTATCTTTACTTCATCGAATAAAACAATGCAAACTAGGTCAACTTCATTCTACGAGTTAAAGTAAAATGGGTCAACTTTGCTATACTCGATAAAGTAAAGCTGGCACGTGCTCAACTTTCTTTATCTAGACATAGATAGTATTATTTTTTCTTTTTGAAAATAAAATAACGGTAGTGCTACGTCTACGTGTGGCTAGATTTCTTTTACACTTCGGCAAACCTATGTGATTTATCACTTTCGGATCATTTTAGGATTTTTTTGCATGGGATACTTTTTGTACAACTCTATGCCATAACTGAGGCACACTTCGACCAGGCAACTCTCCGACAAAACTAAAACTCGATTTTCTGCTAATTTTCTTTTTCTCAGTGCAACAATCACTTTTTGATCTAAAGGAAATAATCGGTTTCTGGTTGGCCATCTATTACCGACGATCAATGCTCTAGCTATTGGCCCATAAAAAATCTCCACTCCTTTTATTTTCATTCCTAGTCAGTCAGCAACGTCGAACTGGCCACCCGAAGTAGCTCGGGATTCTGAAAAAAACTCCATTATAAACACATTCACATCTGATATTTTGAATCTTTCTATTTGAAACTCATTCACACTACTCTGACTCTCGCTCTGCTTATGCTTTGTGTGGTAATTTTGAACAGATTCTATGCCAAAACTATCTGACGAGTCACGTAGTAAAGACGAAATCATGACAATAGTCATTTGATTCACCCTCACATTTTCAAGCTTTCATCATCTTAAAAGCGTGCTAAAAGATCCAAAGAGGTTGTGGGTGTAAGAGTCCATCGGTTTCATGAATATCTGGGCCACGAATCAGATTCGACTGGTTAAACTTTCTTGGATCAGGATCCGACCGATTAAATGTTTTCGGGGTGCGGAATTTAAAGGTACTCTTAAAAATGATTATGAATTTTTCTAATAGAATACTAATTGATGCTCCAAATATAAGATATACTATTTCTTATTTTCCTATTTCATCAGTAACATTATTTACATAGTCTTTAAACGATCTGGTAGTGACTCCATAATAATTAATTTCAATTAGGTACTATGCCTAAGTAAAAGCCTCTGATTACATTTTTTTTTCTTATACTTCAGTTTTAATACTAAAGAGCAATTATGAATTTACTGAACCAACAATTAGTTAATCGATCAATTTTAGACTTATCGAGCATCAGATTCTTTTTCCTTGTTCATTAACTCCATTCGAGGCTTACGGAATCAGTGGTTGGCTCGGAAAAGCCAACATAAAATCAAAGGAAGATTTACTGGAACTACAATCGTCTGTAACTGAAAAATAAAAAAACAACATTTGCCACCATCACTGTTAGAGTACAATAATGAAGACAACAAGATATTTTGTTGAATGTATCGAGAGAGTTAGTTACTAGAACCATAAGAAAGCAGAAGATAAATTTTATCAAATCAAAATTTTATGATCTAAAACCACAGAGAAAAACGTATGAAATTGTTTGCTTGAATGCATGAGAAAAGACGTTATACTATTCTCTAAAACAATTTCAGTGCAGCTCATATTGGTTCTAAATATTTATTTATCACGTAAAAATACCGGAACTTCATCATCGTTTGTGTAGTTGCATCGTATCTGAATGCTTCCGACTTGAGTAGGTATATAATTAGAGTCCTAAAGTTGAAGAAAAGGAAGACACCCTGATCACATTTGAGAAAAATTAAAATTAACAATTTTCCTCATTTTCAATTTCTCATTCGAATTCACATCTGTAAACTTTTAAACAAGTGAAAACAACAACAAACTGCAGCAGTTCTATCATGCTGAAGTCAAAATCGAGGATATTACAGCAATAATTTCACGAAATCCTCAGAATGATGTGCTAATAAAATAGTGAACGTGTATGTCTTGTTCAAATCTTTATTCTAGTTTACTTTTTACAATAGAGACTTTTCGAGTTTGACTGATGATGTTTTATTTTTCCTGTTTCTTCAAAAAGTAACACGACTCTTATTGATTTGATAAAGAAAACAAAAGAGCAAATAATTTAACTTGAAAACTTCAAAAAATTCTATTTCATCATTCAAACAATGCCATCCTATATAGTTATTAAATGCAGTTAAACAACTCATCCATCAAATTTCTAATTATTTGCTTTCTAAATAAGATCGATGTCTTGTGCTTTTATTCTACATTGTGAATATTTAATTTCTATTTATATAAAATAAAAAGCGATTGTTTTTTTTTCTCTTGATCCTATATAGGATTAATTTTATATAATTCCCATAAATCATCCATTAAATCATTCATTGTAACAAGATCAATATTCATATCAAATAATCTCATAATAAAAATTCCATCACAACATAAATAACGTTGACTAAAATTTTTTGTAATGGGTTGACGATCAAATTTATACATCGGTTTATTTTCTTCATAGTTATCATCCGTACGATATTTTGATGAAATCGAACGAAAACGTCGAACACGTGTATCAACAACGGTACGATGAAATAAAATAAATAATAACCATTGAATCAATAGATTATATAGAGCACATATTAAAAGAAAGATTAACCATAAATAGGCAAAGATAAAAATTTTTTCATTGAATACATTAATTGGTAAAACACACTGAACTGTATGTGGATGCTTATTTTTACCAAGAAAACGAACAATAAAATCACATAAAACATTCGTAGGAAACTGTAATGATACATGACGTATTGTATTATTATAAATAATGAAATGATGAAATAAAGAATTAAATTTTAATTCAAAATTCATTAAATAATGTAAACTTATTAGTTGAATAAAAATATTCGTTATATAAATAAGTTTTGTCAATAGATAGAGAAATGTTAATTTTGGTATTATTGCACGATGGCGCATACGAAAATATTGATCAAGACGCGATGCTACATTTCGTATTAGTTGTCGACGATACATCGGAGGTTCTGCGATTGAACGACGACTCATATTTAATTGATCTAAATGTTTTTGTAATGGAATACCAAGTCGAGATGAACCGCTACGCCAAAAAAATCCAGGCAAAAAGAAGCCACATGTTTGTAGCATAAGTATAAATGGAACATATTGATAGAATCGAATTGCGTTCGAACCTTGTCGAGCTTGCAGATCATCCGGTTCAGGAATCTCCGCGTCAATCGAAATAAAATATGTATCAGATATCCAACAAATAAAGTCTGCGTAAATTATATGCGCATCGCTGAATGACGCTGGTGCGAAACATGAGATTGGTTTGCCGACAAATTGTACAGAAGATACAATAACGATAAAAACTGAAAATATAAGAACGGAATAATAACGAGATAAACGGTCGACAAAATCATCATCATTTCGACCAAAACCACAATAATATCGAAGAACAGTGTATAGATCAAACCTATGAATAAAAACATTTGCTTTTTTATTTCATCCAAAAACTACTTTTGAAATATTTGTTGTTTAATATTGATAATCTTTCAATTGTCTCAAATTTTAACCAATGGTTTAAGATTGATTCAAAACAAAAAGATAGTGTCTACATACTGTCTGAACTGTTGAAGATGAGAATGTATTTTACTGTCCCCAGAAGTAAATCTTGAAAATTTTTGAAACATTAGTTGTTGAAAACTAGCCAATAGTTAAATAGCTCAATTCTCATTCTTTCTTAGATTTTTATCTAATAGTTGACTAGAAAACAGAGTCTACTGACAGACAAATATGTTTTTCATTGCTCTATTAGAAGAATTCTACCTGCTTGTTCATGATTCCTTTCTTTCTACTCTATATAAAGATTAATTTAGTTTGCTTTTCTCTCTCTGTCTCTTATGATTTTATACTGCCCGTTAATATAATTCTAAGGAACATATAATTGTATGTAATACGAGGAAAAATCTATTAAATTAAATATAAAAGATTCACAGACATCAAGAAATCATTTGATGTTTAAAATTGCGTTGTCTATTGTCATAATATATAGATGGTAAAGACAATTCTTCTTGTAGAAAAAACATGATTGTGTTTAATTTGTTTCTTTTATTTGTCGTTATTGTGGTTTAGCTACACAGTCAAATATATTGTAATTGGAGAGTCACTCAACTCGATAGAAATTTAATTATTCCATTTTGAAGTGTATTTTCTCATTGACAAGTCTTACTCACAACTTGGAATCATAAATGATGTAATTCATGTGTCATCCTTGTATAATACGATTAAGTGTGGCTCTCTAGATTCTCATATTTCGATTTTTTTTATTGCTATACTATGTAATCGCCTATAAGAACAAGGGTGTGGACACGTTTCGACTTCTTCCCAAGGAGAGAAAAAGCGTACTTTTGAAGTACAGAAGTACGGATAAGTGCCAAGGAATACCAAGTAGCAATTAGTGCATGTTTTACTGCTTGATTTCTCAATCGCGGATCTTTCATAGATATGAGGAAGATTCTAGAGGGATTCTGTTTTTTTCCCGACGAACACGAGTAAATCTAGAAGGAAGTGCGCAGTCACGAAATCACAGGATTCTGACAGGATTCAAAACAACACTATCAAGTATCCTAGCAAGTTGATAGTTCCTTTCTGAACCAAGATTGAGCTAGGAAATCGGCAATTCTGGAAGAAAATGTGTAGCTACTGAACTGCGATCCTGTCAGGATTTGGATACATTAAAAGTGCAGAAAGGATTTTGACCACAGTTTTCAGAATTTGTATAGGTTTCTTGAAAATGTTATCGAATTTCTTGACAGAACTTTCACTGAACTTTCAAAATAGAGTATCGAACTGTAGACCTTCAGTTTATAAGCGGATCAGCCTATTCAATATTCCATGTTATTCCATCTGACTTTACCGATTAATATCTTAATTTCTCACTTTAATGAGAATGTCTGCTTAAATTCTATGCGATTATAAATAATTTTTAAAAATTCTGGAAATTTTGTATCGTTTAACGTTTTTTGCTTCGTGAGTGAAAATGGGCTGTTTTTTTATTTCTATATGATTTTAAGAAATATTTTTTGATGTTGTTTTGAAGCGCCATTAAATCTATAAGCACTTTTCATCGAAGTGTTTACTAATGACTCAACATATCTACTAAACGAAAAAACTTTTACGATGAATTAATTCAAATCAACACCGTAGTTGTATGATATTCGATTTTCTTTTCCTTATAAGATTAACAAAAAAATCTCATAGCTGTAGGCCGACTTTAAAAACAGCTTTTATTCAAACTTCAAAAAGATTCAGAATATTTTTTCTCCTATTTTTAAGATCCGTTCTGTTTGGTGATGAAAAGAATTAAATCAAAATCATAATAAAAATGCCAGTAGATTATTTCGTTCTTAAAGTTGTGTCCTGTCGCCAGAAGAAAGAATAATATCTTGAAAATTGCTTTCATCTACTTTTACTGAAATTTCGCTGAAAATTGATATTCAAATTCTGTTCTAGTCTATAAATTTTGAACATCTGCAAGGATTTTAATCTGAAGCTATCTAAAAACGTCAGGAAATAATTTCATTCATTCTATCCTGATTTCTTATAGAACCCTGAAAGTGAGATTTTTCAATGGTCTCTGAACATAAACCTAAAGATAGTTTAACTGGCTTCTGGCATTTTTTTTTATCAAGATCTTGATCTTGATTATAGTTTTACAAGTATTCTAAATGCCGGTGCTTGACCACTTCGGCTCAGGAATCTGGTCGAAGTTTGGCAGCAGCTACTATTTGAGAACTCTGACTAATCTTGTTTTTTACGGGTATGATCTTTCTCCGATAAAACTATACGTAACTGTTGATAGTATCCTCGTATTAAAATCCCGTACAGATATTGATTTACTCTAATGCAATCTTCACGAAGTTCTCTTTATGACTTTTGTCAGATTCCTGGATAGGATTGTCAATGAATTTTAGTAGGATCCTAAAAATTCGATTCAGAAATATATCCAAGTAGAAACTTGAACAAATCCTTGGTAGAATCATGGATCAAACCTTTTAGAATTCTTGAAGCTTATGGTTCTGAAAGATCTTTCAAGTTTATCTCAAGAAACAGACAAGACTGCGTGGGATAAGTACTAACGTGTACAGATTTTTTTCTAAATATTTATATTTTCTTATCAAGATTCTGATTAGAAATGCCATTGTCTTCTAAGGTTTGGAATGCAAAGGCTTGAAAAGCTCTGGGCAAGATCCTGGCTAAAACTTCACGGGATTAATCAGTTTTTACTCTGATAAATTTTGCTATTTTTTACCAAGATCTTCTTGTGGTGTGACTATCATTCATAACAGAACCTCGACACGAAAATTTGATGTAGATCGTAACGAGCACCTAATAAAAATTTTCCAGATTTCTGTCTCATAATGTTCTTAGGATCCACCACAGGATGTTGAGTAAACCCTGATAGAGTATACTGAATTCTCGACTGGTAAATACTATCTGAGCAGAAACTTAAAGGAATCCTTAGTATGATCTTGTTTTGCCTTAAAAATTCTGAAAACAGGAATTCTCAAAATTCGGAACAGGATTCTGAATTGGAAATAATGCGATTCTTAAAGGTCTTTTCAAGAATTTTGAAGGAATGAGCAGGATTGAGACTAGGATAAGGACAGAAGTACGCTTTTCCCCCCTTGCTTCTTTCGCTTGTCAACGTTCTATTCACTGGGATCGCATATGAGATAGAAGACGATCAAGAGTTTACTTGTTGTTGTTAATAGATTTTATATTAACGTTATTGTAAATTAGTAGATTGTGCTTTTTTTATATTCAAGTCTGTAAGGCGGACATGCATTTGATGATTAGGCAACAGAATTTAACGTTGGTCCTTCTTTAAACCCAATTAATTTTGACTAATATCCATTCTACTTCAAATGAATATTAACCTTGGAAATAGTGTAATGGACTGCAAGTTGACTCATAATTTTTTTTCTGATCAAACTCTCACTTATGAGCTTCCTTCGAGATGTGTGAAAATATTAATTTAATGAAAACTATCATTTTATTGTATAGTCGCCTGCTTTTTTTTTGTTTTCCTATACTGTAATGGAGTTTTCGAACGTGTTTTCCATTACCGCTGTGACATTTTTTTCTCAGTGAATTAATTTTGTCAACTATTCCGGAGGGTGTCAAGAGGTAAAATGTTTGATCAGCAGAAAAAAGCATAAAAACGTTTGAAACCTGAATAATTCAACTCGAGTACCTGTGCACTGTTTCTAAGTAAAATATGGATTTGACAGAGATTGGATATTAATCACAAACGTTAAAAAACAAGATCTCGCACATAATAAAATTCGAATTTTTATTTATGTGGATCACTTTTTTTCGACCATACCAAGTCTTTCATTCTACAAATGACTCCAATAGATAAAACCTTGAAAATCAAGACTAGCCGAAACGAATCGTTCTAGATTTCTATCTGTTTGCATTAAAAAATAACTTACCTTAGAGAAGAACGTTGAAAATATGCGGTCATATTGTCCGATGAGCTATTAGCATAGACAATATAGATATGAACTTCCTGTTTCGACTTAGTATACTCAATTATCCTAGACACATTCTTTTCCTATCTCACTCTCTCTCTCTCGCTGGCTCATTTTGAAGGCACTCAGGAGACTTCACTAATGTGTAATTTCTTTTTTTCTCATTTTTTCTCCTCTGTCTCTCTCTTTTCTCGTTTCTTATCCGCATTCGTTTGTTGAAGTGGATTGTCAAAACGAACTTCAATTCATATAATCATTTACTAGCAAGAGCAACCTAACAAACTTGTTCTTCTATTTTTTTTTCTGTATTGCTTCAAAAGTCCCTGTTTGTCTCATAAAGTGAAGCAAGAAAAAACTTTTCATCTAATCATCTTCTCAAATATCTAAATTAACTTAACGAGTGAATTCGATTAGCAAATAAAATGATGACATTTCTAGCCTATGATGGTACCATTTACGATATTGGTAAACTATAAGCTAATAACAGTTGTTTGGCTTTAAGAATCGCCTTTCAGACTGAAGTTAAATTAAACAAGATCTATATCATGATGGAAAACGATTTGCTTCTATTTTAAAACTTAATACTCTGAAAGATGTAATGGGGAAAAGTATCGATGGATAATTATAATAAATTATCAATGTATTTTCCCGCCACTTTGAAAATATCTACTAGATTCTGTTCTACTTACATTCTTTTTAAGAATACATCATATAATCCATTTCGAGTTTTGCAAAATGAAATCGCCTGATTGCGTATGTTATTCTAAAGATATTTTTCTTTCTCTACGTTGAAAGCCAATTTATCATTCATAATGGATCATCGTTAAAGATGAAGAGTTTAATCAAAGAGAAACATTTTCTTCACATATTAAGCAAGATAGCATACACACTTGAGAATAGACCGATGACATTTGCATATATATTTTTTTTCTGTGCCTTTTTCCTCTCGATTTCTCACCATACTATCAATTCAATTGTCCCATATATATATATATATATATATATATATACAGAGAGATCAAATAGAACTATACTCAAACTAATTACTTCAATACCTTCTCATTCGATAGATTGATAGGTAGAGATATACTCAGCAGACCATGGTTCAAATATCATAATCGTGTATGCGTAAGTATCACAAAGAGAAAATGGAGAATCTTGTTTTGTTTTTGACATTAGCTATCGTATTGTTACTTAACTTCACGATTAAACAATTCAAACATTCGATGATTATTATTCTTTTTTAAATGATTTTTCTTATTAAAATCCGTGTCTTGTAATGCTCTATAGCTTATAAAATATAGTGAAAGAGAGTTACATAACATCACATGTATATTGTTTTTTCTTTTAGAGACAATGATAAGAATCAAATTTTAAATAATCTACATACATCAACTCGATCTAGACTAGTTGGCATGAGAATAATATGCTGTATATTTTTTTTTTGAAATTTTAGAATGTTTGCTAATCGAACTGCAACAATGGCACTAGAAGAACTGGCATATGCTAAGTACGATTGCAAAAGATCATAATCCGAGGAAAACAGAATTTTTTTCAGGATGAAAATAATAATTGTATATCTCTGTGGTTTATACAGAATTTATGTGCCAGAATAAATGATGAATATTTGCGATCATAACACATATTTCTTAACACAATTTGTAGACGAAATACAACTTCTATTTGTAGAAAATTGAAAAAAAATTTGAAATACTCAATAAAGCCTAAACCAATCTTGATCATTTTTTTCTTAAAATTCTTTCTAATTTAAATTTCAATAATTTCAATCTTCGGAGCATAAACGTGAAGCCTATTTTGAAAATGTTTGAACCACTTTATCCACTAACTGAGCATCTTTATGTATCACAGAAAACTGTCCCAGACAGTACTGAACGAATTATATACTTAAAAAAAGTGAAATTGCTTTCATTCATTTCTTTTTTTAGGTGAGGATTTCGTCAGAATTTATCCCCTTAAAGGACTAGAATCCTATTTATCATCAGACTCTTTGTATTTTAAGAGAAAATTCTTTAAGAAATCTTTTCAGAAGTAAATGGGTTACATGAATTTCGGCCCAAGGAATTTTCGAGCCGGACTTTCGGCCTCAAATGAATTTTTTTTTATCATAAAACTGGGTCATTCTCATCCTCATATCCATTTCATAATGGGCCGAAAGTCCGGTCCGAAAATTCCTTGGACCGAAATTCTGGGCTCCCTTATCATTACCCATAATTTACTAATTTTCTTGCGGTGACATAAAAGCTAATGTACATGTTTTTTTATAAAGATTTCTTATATTAATTTCATTTATATCACTTGATTTACTGTTGATAAATGCAGATTGAAAACCCAAATCTTGTAATTTGCTGTAAATACCAGAGACGTGCACAGGACAGGGCGCAATTTTGATTTTTGCCCTGTCCTGCCGCCCGCCAGGACGAGATAGCTGGCAGGACAGGTCAGGACAGGACGAAAAAGCTTGTCCTGTTGTCCTGCAGTTTTCTTAATCAAGCTTCTGGAAGATCGGCAATTTGGTGAATTTCTAGGATAAAATTCGCCAATTGTAATCCT